GGATGTGTTAGCCTGGTGATGGGTATTAAAGAGGGCACGTTCTGCATGGAGCACTGGGTGTTATGCACAAACAATGAATCATGGAACACTACAGCCAAAACTAATGATGTAATGTATGGTAATTAACATAACAATAAAAAATTAAAAAAAATTTCTGGGCATGACATGAGGAGTGAGAAGGAAGCGAGGAAGAGACTCTGTTTTTCCTGCAGGACTCTGTGTTACTAATAGCCATCATGGCACCACACTGATTCCAAGAATAAAGTATGCCAGCCTCACCATGAACTGAGGGACAAAGGGAGACTTGACTTAAGCTCCTGGATCAAGCTATGCCTGAGTCCTACCTTGAAACTTTTCAGCTATTAGATCGGGTAGAAAAGGTTTTCTGTCACTTATAACTGAAAGAGTCCTGATTAAATAATCATGGACTCCCATAATCATGGAATTTGGGGCAGCTAACGCCAAGGATGCTTAGGATAATAAATTTGTTGGGGCGCCTGGGTGTTGCAGCTGGTTGGGCATCTGACTCTTGGTTTCGGCTCAGGTCATGGTGTCGGTGTCATAGGATCAAGCCCCGTGTCAGGTTCCATGCTCAGCGTGGAGTCTGCTTGGGGTTCTCTCTCACTCTCCCTTTGTCCCTCCTGCTTGCACTCTCTCTCGCTCTCTTTCTCTAAAATAAATAAATAAATCTTTGAGAAAAATAATACCAAATTGGTTGAATCTCAGAGTTTAAGTCGTTAGAGACTAAGCCTGACTGAAAGGAATATGGAGAGGACCTCAAAGCTATGGGTGTGGAGCAGGGGAGGGCCCGAGTTGCCTTTATGCACCCCCACTGGTACCAGTGCATTTGTCCCATACCAGGAGCTCCTGCAGTTCCAAGCACTAGACTGTGGATTGGCCTGGGAGAGCCATGTGCAATGAGATGCACAATCCCAGACAGCCCTTCGGGATTGTCCTTCTGCATGGTACCCTCTTATCCTTTCATGCAGGGAAGAGATGGGTTCTGAGCAGTGCAAGCAGTGCTGCTGGGAAGGAGAGGTGGATGATGAGGACACCCCTTAGAAAAGCTGCATTTGGCCAGCAGAAAAGCCTGCCCCAGACCAGACTGCTCTGAGGCAGGCGCCTGGCCCAGTGTGCCAACCTCCATCTTGGCGTCAGTGCCCACTCTTGCTGGCTGACCTTTCTGAGCAGATATTTCAGGAAAAGGAACGGAAGATCACATCTCGCGCTGGCTTCTCCACCTGCTGAGAGGATCTTCAAAGGTGCCAATGGCTGAACTGGCTGCTGGACCACTTCTCTCTGCCAGGACCCAGGCTGCCATTGGCTGTGTTCCTCTCCAGCCCACAGGGCCTCCCACCTGGCCACAGCTCCTGGACCCAGCTTCACTTCTGGCCTGGCCACTCTTCCTCAGAAGGTAAGTGGCTCTTTTGCCCTGCATGGAGGTTCCTGAGTATAATAATTTGGGTTCCAGTTCCACTTTCTCCAGGGGCTTGCTACTTGTATAAATTGGCATCAATTTGTCCACTTGAAAAACGGAGGCTTCCCCAATAGTGATAAGCCTCACTACACTTTTATGAAATGGGCCTTCGCACTCCCATTCTACAGGCTAAGAAGCCAAGGCTCTGAGGGTCCCTGATGCTATTCATTCAGCAGTCTCATTGAGCACAGTCTACTTGCCAGGCACTGTAGTAAGGTGTCAGGACATTAAGGTGACTAAAACAAGGTCCTGACCCACAAGCTGCTCAGTTGGGGTGGGTGATACACTTGCCGAAGGGCATAGAGCAAATTGTCATCTCCTCTGCACACAGTAGGTACTCAACCAATTCATGAGTTGGCTGAAATGCTTTACGGGCAACTGACAAGGAGCAATCATGGGCAAAAAGACCACAGGATGCAAAGGATGCATCAGGAGAAAGAGAGATGTCAATTTCCAGCCTGGAGCCTAGGTTTGCAAACAAAAAATCTATCATATCTGATGCTGTTTGCCAAAGACTAGAATGGAGATGAAGGAAATGAGGAGCAGCGGATGGTGTGCTTGGCTCCTGCCTGACAAAGCAGCTGGGGGCCTGTAGGGCTCTGGAATGGTCCCCAGATCCCCCCAGTCAGGGCTGCAGAGAGGATGGAAACAATGTAACCAGGATGGCCTGCTGGTAACACTGGTAACCGGGAGGGAGGGTTTGCAAATGTGAGGATGAACCCTTAGAATGGACCAGCCTCAGAGATGATAGCCTCAGGCTCTCTTTCTCCTCTGGACCTTGCTTCTCAAAGCATGGTCCATGGACCAGCAGCATTGGCAATACCTGGGCATTTGTTTAAAATGCAGATGCATTTATTGCATTATGCAAATACAGTATCTGGGCATTTGTTAAAAGTGCAGACTCTCAGTCCCATTTCGCACCTACTAAATGTGAGTTTGCAATGTCAACAAGGTTCTCCACTGTTTCCCAAGGCTAGCCACATATTAGAATCATCCAGGGAGGTTTGGAAAACCCAGGTGCCTGGATATATTCCAGAGATTCTGATTTAATTGGTCTGAGCTGTCACCTGGGCAGCAGGACTCTGTTGAGATATAATTGACATTTAACATTGTATAAGTTTAAGGTGTACATGTGATGACTTGATACACTTATATCTTGCAAAACAGTAACGTTAGCTAACACCTCCATCACATCATATAACTGTCATCCCTTTTCCAGCAGGACTTTTTAGGGTCCAAGTGATGATCCTAATGGGCAGCCAAGGCTGGGGACCACTGCTTTAACTTTACAGAGTACATCCTGAAACTTGACCTCATGGGCCCTTCACTACAACCCTGGTAGCTTAGGAGGGCCTGGTTGTTTCCATCTTTCAGAAATGGCGTTATCCTCATTTTTCAGCCTAGCAGGTTAGTGTAGAAGAGTGGTTCTCAAAGTCAAGTCCCCAGAACCAGCAGCATCGCCCTGGAACTTATTAGGAATGCAAACATCTGAATCAGAAACGCTGGTGATGGGGCCCAGAACCTATGTTTTAGCAGCCTTTCCGGTAATTCTGGGGCAGGCTCAGGGTTGGGAGAGGAGCTCTGGCATCTGTCCCTGGCTCTGTGTGTCCTTGGGTGGGGGACTCTCCCTCTTTGGGCTTCAGTTTCCATGTGTGTAAATGAGGGAGGGGTGGAGCAGATCGGGGTTGTCACCCTCCTTAGAGTCCCTTGGCACACTGCCCATCTGCCACAGCACTGCTCCCCACTGTGCCCAGACTGACCCCGGACTTTTCTCAGCACTCCCTCCACCCCCACAGGCAGTGCGGCCCTCCCAGGTGGCACTGAAATTTAAGTCTCTTTACCATCCCAGGTGCCAGCTGACCTCTGAGGCCCCTCCACAGTGTTAGTGACAGTGGCAGGCCCCGGACCCTGGAACCCAGCGCTTTTTCTCTCCTCCTCCTCAGGCTCTGAGAAATAGAGAAGCTGGTGCATCCACATGGGCCAGAAAAATGTGTCAAGGGGGCAGGTGACCTGTCTCCACCTTCATGCCCTTCCACACCCCCACGCTTTGTACAGCTCGTTCCCACTCCCTGTTGTACTCCTCTGGTCTAATCTTAATGCACCACTGAGGCCAAACTCAAATGTCACCTTCTCCATGAAGTCCCCTGTGCCTCCAGGCAGGGACAGCTGAACTTGCACAGAGATGGGAGCATGTCCTGCCTGCATTACGCATCTCCATTATAGTCTGCCTCCCCTGGGGGACTGTGGCTCCTGGAGATCAGGGACCCATCAGGATCCCTAACGCTAAGCCCTGGGCTTGGTAGGGATAAATGCTTGAGACAAACGTGATTGAATGAGGTGCCCAGATTACCAGTGTCAGGGGCAAGATGTCCTAGGGGCCCCAGTATACTCCTGCTAATGGCACCTTCTGCACCTCACTCTACCAGCATATCAGCCAACTTCCCACTTGCCAGTCCTTTGGCACTCAGAGTCCGCTGCTGCCCTGGAGTGGGCCTGAGAGGTGCAGAGCCCGCGAGCTGCCAGGCTGTCCTGCACAGCCGGTCTGGCCTGACTCCCTCCTGGCGAAGTGGAAGGGAGGAAGAGAGGGAGGCAGACAGGCAGCAGGGTCATACCCCGGGTCTCCAGTGAGGAGCCAATGGGCAGGTTAGTGAGGCAGTGACTGCAGTCAGATTATTGATGCCAGAGAGGCGGGGAAGGCAGTGCTGGGGCTGTAAGCATGCTCACACATCCAGCCGAGTTCCAGGGATCTGGAGAAGCTGCCCTCTCTCAGCTTGCCTGCATGCTCCCATTTGCTGTGCTCAGCCCTGCTCGGAAGGAGGAGGCCCATTCAGTCCACATTTACCAGCACCTACTGTGCATTCAGCCATGGGTGAGATGCCGTGGGGCAGCATGGAGAAGGCACAGTCCCTGCTCTTAAAGGGGGATGAGAAGGGGAAAGATCCTGGCATGTGATGAACACAGCTGTATGCCGTGTCTTGTGTGAGGACAACGTGCATTGAGCACCTTATCAGTCCCCGAGGGAGAGGAGTGTATACAGAACACCTACCATGTGCCAACCTTGCGAGGGGAATATGTACTCAGCCCGTACTGTGTGCCAAGTCCCATGAGAGGGAAAGCGCATTCTCCCTAAGCCCGGGGCCCTGAGAGAGGGGAACGTGGATTGAGTACCTCCCATGCTCCAAGCTCTGTGTGCGGAGCCTCATACCCAATGAAACCTTATGCCAGTTCAGGAAGTTGGCTTTCATGCCGGTGTCTCCTTCCCCTACAGGAATCCAAATTCTCCTCCTCCAAGGCCCAGCTCAAAGGCTACCTCCTACGGGAAGCCTTTCCCGATTTGTTGGGTAGAACTCCCGGCTCTTTTCTCTTCTGTCCTTCAGCAGCACATCAAGGCCGTCCTCATTTCTTCTGCCTGGGATGATGGACAGCCAGACAGCCATGTGTGCAGCCCTCCCCATGGGCCAGAAATGATGCTGAGCACCGCCAGGCTCCCTCTCAGTCCTCACCACCCAGCTGCTGGGTAAGTACTACTGCTACCCATTTTACAGCCAAGGAAACTGAGCTCCAAGGAGGCTAAAGGACCTGCCCAAAGCTACACAACCAGCGGATGTCAGAGCCAAAGCTTGACCATAAGCCCGGGCATTTCCACGGCCACTGGGTGAACTCCCCTGGCGCAGGCGAGGGCTGTGTTCCCCCCTGCATCTACCCTCCCAGGTCCTGGCTCCCTGGGCGTGGCTGCCCCCAGAGGACATCCACTGGCCATTTTCACAGCAGTAACCAGACGTGTTGGTCCTGACTTGGCTGCCCCGCACCCCACGCCCTGCTAGCAGGGTCCTGACTTGGCAGGCAGAGACCCCCTCCTCGGGGGCTCACCAGGACGGGGGGACATAGTATTCCCAAACTGGGACATGTGCTGACATTTCTGGGGAGAAAAGACCAATCTGGAGAATCGGGGCTTTCACCTCCCCCTGGGAATTGGCGTGCTGCGCTTACCCATGATGCTCTCCCTCCACTTCACAGAATAATTGCTGAACAGATTGCACTGGAAGGAGAATTCCTGGATTATGGAGTCATGATTCTCAATGGCTGTTTATCTGTGTTTTGCTTCATTTCTTGAAAGAAAAATGGTGAGAATTTAAGTATGTGAGTTGAAAGCCGGGGAAACGGAGGCCGCATCCATCACCCCACGGAGGATGGAGTGGAGCACCGTGGGGGAGAGGCAGGGAGGCGTGGTGCTCGCCACCGGCTGCCTGCTCTGCTCCCTCCTTGTCTGTCAAAGCTGTACACATGAGGAAATGAGGGCCCAGAGAGCTGAAGTGACTGGGCCAGGGTCACACAGCACTGGCACGGAGGGACCAGTCCATCTGACCCCAAAGCCAACCTTTCCTGCTTCCCGTGGCAAGTTGGTGCACTTATCAGCTGCTTCTCTCGGAGACTCCCTGGACGGCTGCTCTGCCGTGACAGAGGACACAGAAGCCCCACTGGTTCAGCCCCAGGCCAGGAGATGCCAGGCTCTGCCTGCTGTGGGCTCTGTCAGATCTGGGAGGGGAGATGCAGGGGGAACCACGGCCCTCGCCCGAACCCAGGGAGTTCGCTGTCTCGGGAAGAAGATGAAGGGCCCTTGCACAGTAAGGTGCAAGAATAGTGCCACATCCTCAGTCCAAGGACACATCTGAGGGCCCTGGCTTCCACAGCATTGATGGTCTGGGCCTCTCCTTGGACCCTGAAGTACGTGATCCTCTCCCTGAGGCTCAGCTGCATGGCCCTTCAAGGCAGGGGTAGGATTCTCATTCAGACTGCTGGATTTGAATCTCCACCTCTGTAATTTAGCAATCATTAGACCTTGGACAAGTTGCTTAACCATTCTGAGCTCAGTTTGTTCATCTGTAAAATGGGCACAATAATAGACCTCCCTTGTAGGATTATTGTGAGGATGAAAGGAGTTAATTCAAGTCAAGGGCTTAGGACAGTGAGTGGCATTAGGACCTAGTAAGTGCTCAATAAATACAGGTTGATAGTATTCTTCATTCAATAATTTATTTACTCAGCACCTGTGCCCTGGGGATGCAGAGTTGAGACACAGACCCTGCCCATTCGAAGCCTACAAGCAAAGAGGCTGAGGAGGAGAGGCAAACGGATAAAAGACCCCCTCTGCCCCCCACCGTGGGTTGTGAGTTGCAGTGCAGGTAAGCATGGGGCACTAAGGGAGCCCAGAGGCAGAGGGTCAGTGAAGGCTCCCGGGAGAGGTTATAGTTAAGGTTAATCTTGATGGATGAAGAGTTATTCACCAAGGAGTCCATCAGGACTGACAATCATGGGGGACAGATGGACAATTAGACGCAAGTCAGGCATCCAGGCAGAAGGAAAAGCACACACAGAGGCTCAGAGGAAAGAGAAGGCATGGCACATCTAGGGAATTGCAAGTAGCCCAGGATGGCCAGATATCAGGTGTGTGTGAGAGGTAGTGATGAGAGATGAGTAAGAGAGGGAGGGACCAGCCGCCCGGGAGCCTTGGGAGCTCTTATGGCTTGAACTGTATCCCCCCAAAAGTTGTGTTGAGGTCCTAACCCCCAGGACCTGTGAATGCGGCTTTATTTGGAAAGGAATCATCGCAGGTGTAATTAGTTCAGATGAGGTCACACTGGAGTGGGGTGGGCCCTTCATCTAATATGCCTGGTGTCTTTACGAGAAGAGGAGGGACACACAGGGAGGAGAATGTCACGCAAAGACAGGCACGTGAGGGAAGAAGGCCATGTGGAGCCAGGGGCCGTCTGGCGTTAGGCAGTGGTGGAGCGCCACGGAGTACCCGCCACCAGCAGAAGCTGGAGGAGGCAGGGTAGGATCTTTCCCTCCAGCCTTCAGAGGGAGCATGGCCCTGCTGACACCCCAATATTGGAATTCTGGCTTCCAGAACTGTGAGAGCAGAAATTCCCAGCTTTTTAAGCCCCCGGCTTGTGATACTTTGTTACAGCAGCCCCAGGAACTAAGCCAGGAGCTGAGCCACTTCAGCTGTCAGGGTGGAGAGGGTTAATCCCAAAGCGCCTGGCCATGCTTACTCCTCGGAGTCCCCCGGGGTGGCTGGTACACAGGGGCACCTCCAAGAGACCTGGCATTCTTCTACCTCCTGGTGGCGCCCACATCACCTCTGCCTTCGCCCACGGTGCCGCTTCCTGTCGGACCCACGCCACCTGTGCCCACTGCCACCCCAATGGCCACGGCCACAGCGGCTCATCGCCGAGATATACAGCCGGCCTCGGGCGGGGTGATGGGGCCCAGCCGGGCTGGCATTAATCATGTTTATTGCAAACAGGAAACAAAGGGAAGAAAAGAACAAAGCCCTGGACGGGGGAGATGGGGAGGCGGGAGTGAGGCACCCAGCCGGGAGTGGGGGCCAGCCGAGAGGCACTGCCTACTGAGATACCCATTAATCTCCTGGTGTTTGCTCCAGGACCAGGAGCGAAGAGCCCAGCGCTCTGCTGAGGTTTATCTGGGCGCCTCAGCTGTGAAGTGTGCTGCATGCCAGTTTCGTGGGTGCGTCAGAGATTTGCCAGGCTTGGGAAGGGCTGGGAGGTGGCAGGAGGCACCAAGAGCCCTGCTGGCCCATCCATTACCCCAGCAAAGGCCCGGCTTTCAGCGCTGTCCATGGGTGAAATTGCATTACATTCTGCCTGGTAATGAGGTGCCGTGGGCCCGGGCGCGGGGCCAGGACCTGCTCTGGCCACCAGTCCCGGCCCCGGTCACCCCCAGCCCAGACTGGCCTGGCGCGGGAGGAGGGTGGGCACTGGCGCCAGGAGGGGGCGGAGGGGAGGGTGGAGGCAGAGGGTGGCACCCAGGAGACCAAAGGCAGCCGGGGCTTACTGAGCACCACTGTGTACCCGACCTGTGTTGAGAATCACTGCTGTATCCTAACACTGTATTAGTTTCCTATGGCTTCTATGACAGATTAACACAGACGGGGTTGAGCGGGGATGGGGTGCTTAGGACAACAGAAGTGTATTCTCTTACCATTCTAGTGGCTAGAAGTCCGAAATCAAGGTGTTGGCAGAAATGGTTCCTTCTGGAGGCTCTGAAGAGAGAGTCTGTGCCCTGCTTCTCCCCTAGCTGCTTGGTGTCCTGGGGCTCCTCGATGCCTGTTTCAACCTCGGCCCCTGTGTTCACACGGCCAGATTTCCCTCTTCTTATGAGGACACCAATCACCAGATCAGCTGCACCCTCAGCCACTATGACTTCATTTTAGCCTGATGACATCTACAAAGACCCTCTTTCCAAATAAGATCCCATTCGCAGGTCCCGGGGACTTAGGACTTCAACATACCTTTTGGGGGGTGGGCACAACTCAACCCACAAGGAAGTTCACGTCTGCGGATGGCTTATTTGATGCCCCGCACTCTGCTAGGAGCTACGCATGAGCTGTCTGATTGGATCCTCACGACAGAAGTATGGGGTTGGTACCATTACTATGCCCACTTTTGAAACCAGACTACTGACGAAAAAAACTGAGGCTCGGAGACACATAGCTGAAATGTGGCAGGCCCCAAAACCTGACCCAGACCCAGGAGTGTGTTGCACAGAGTCATGCCATACTGGGAACAGCACAACAGTGATAGTGGCGGGGGGGGGATTGTATCTGGAGCTCCGAGCGCATTCAGTAGGGACACGTGATACAGACAAAGATACAGATACGGGGAGGCTTCCTGGAGGAAGTGACCCAGGAGCAGGGATCTGGACAGTGTTATTTTACAGACAGGGAGCCACCCGCCATCCTCCGAAGGTGCCACATGCTCTCAGCTCTGTGCCTGGGTGCCTTCGCTGCTGCCTGGTCCTCTTGGCAAACTCTCAGCTCTATGTCATGCTGGTGGGTGACTTTGGAGGGAGGCTAGCCCCTGTAGACCTCAGTTTCTACAAGACGGGGATATGAGCATCTGCTTCCCAGGGTGGCCGCGAGAGGGTTGTGAGATCATGAGCATTTAGCACAGTGGCTGGTTCTATCATTATACGTTGGAGGAGGTGGGGATGGTTCCCACTTGGGCAGCTGGGAGGTTGCTGGTGGCCCCTCTTCCACAAACGGAGTACAGAAGGCAGGGACAGGCTCCGGGCAGGGGGCAGGCAGGGCAACAAGGAATTTGGGAGGACTTCAGAGGCAGGGTCTGAGGATAGGACCCAAGGGTCCCTGGCTCCTGATGGCACCAACCATTGGTCTTCCCAGCTGCACCCCAGGTTCTGACAGTATGGCCCCCTGCTTCCTGTACACCTGATGAACTCCTTCAGACATCTAGCCATTTGCAGGGAGACTGTTCAGCTCATTCTCCAGGACTCATGTTGGCCAACTCCTCTTCTTGAGGACAGTTCTGACCTTCCTCCTTCCCCCCATCCTCCTGCCTCCAAAACCCCCTGCACCTCCTTTTATTGGCCAGCCTCCAGGAATATAGCTCTTGGCTTT